TGTCAATGCACACTATATATAATGCATTATATAAACAAACAATATAATATAAACAATCATACTAAGTAAAGATGTTAGGATTTTTTGGATTCAGGTGTATGTATGGACAGATGGAATCTAATATGAACTAAAACTAAATATACTCCTAGATAGTAACCATGAAAAAACAGAACAGGGATTGAGGGGGTAATAGGTACCTATATAAGAAAAAGTCCCCCAAAACGGGACTGTCCCTTTAAAAATGGGACATCTGGTAGTGGTCACCCTATCCTGGACTAGATTACTTTGCACTATTTAAAGGACTTTGCAACAGTGTATACATTTCAGACTTGGAGCTTGCAAAGATTAGGATGAACCAATATTCAATCACCAGTAGCATAGAACAAGATGATCACAAGCAAACAAGTAAAGGACAGAAAAGGCAAACAGACTGTGGGAGTAAAATAATCAGGAATATGTGCTGGAATACATAGCTTTTCATGTCTAGGTCACTGGGTAAAGTCTGATCTAGGTTAGTAGCAAACAACTGATGGATATTAAGTGGCCTCTGTGAAATGAGTTGGTCTTATTCCAGTTCCTAGTATGCATGTGTTCACATCACAAACTCAATATGTCTATAACTGACATCCTTACTGACATCAGCTGATAGGCCAAAAAACTACATTCACAGAGAAACTGAATAACCCTTTCAACCTTAGTGGTCCCAGTTCAGTGTTAAGACACACTGGTAGGACCTTCTAGGAAGGCTTTCACTGCTGTCAGCTGAGCTGTGGCTGAACAATTGAGAATGACTGTTCAGTCTTGTTAATTCAGTAACTTTCACAGATGTGATGTTGTTGGGGAGGGTTAGGCAGGTAGAGGCAAGAATCAAATTAGGTTAAAAGGGCTTACAAGAAAAGGTGATAGTATTAAGACTCATTTATCGGAGATTGAAAAGTCAGGATATATAAACTTGAGTATCTGTAGAACAGTGATAGTTTAGTTGAGAGCAAAGAAAAAAACAACATTGAATTTTGCAGCACATTATGTGGAACAAAAACTGTCCTGAATTAATATAATTTATGGAGACCAATATAAAATGATTTCTCTGGAAAAACCAACAGTTTTAAGTGAAGGGTCTGAGCAGGCTGACCAGAATATTCAAGACAGTTTGGTTGTACAAGATCAACAGAATGCTCTACTGGAGAGTAAGTCAGTTGAATTGAAGACCAGAGTAAACAAGTTTCCCCTTGCTTCAAGAATAATAGATGGATCTAGGAATTAGGCAAATCAAGTGAACTAAAGACCACAGGAGTTACCAGAGTAAGCAAGGTTTCAGAGTAACAGCCGTGTTAGTCTGTATTCGCAAAAAGAAAAGGAGTACTTGTGGCACCTTAGAGACTAACCAATTTATTTGAGCATAAGCTTTTGTGAGCTACAGCTCACTTCATCGTCTCTAAGGTGCCACAAGTACTCCTTTTCTTTTTCAGAGTAAGCAGGTTTCGGACAGGCTTCAAGCAGGGACATGTGCTATAGATCTAAGAATTTAGTTCATCAAGGCTGGTAATGATGCACTTCTTCACTGTGACACCTTTCTGCTTGCTCTGAGAAAAAGTTTCTAAGCTTCACAAAGTCCTAGTGCTTGATGAGATTTTTTTCTTTCTTTCAACAGATACACACATTCCTTTACTCTAGGAGCAGTGTCTTGCACTCCATTTTAATTCCAAACTACTGGAAGGCTAACTGAGTGCACTGCAATAGCGCCATCTTAATGTCAGGTACCCACAAAATGTGAAAAGGTAGGAAAAATGGAGCTGGGCAGGGGGTGATAGGGTAGGGTTACAATACATCCGTATTTTCCTGGACATGTCCGGCTTTTTGGTTCTTAAATTGCCATCCGGGAGGAATTTTTAAATATCTAAAAAGTCCGGTATTTTGCCATTATTATTTTTCCCCAAAGAAGAGTTGATCATTCAAGAAAGAGAATGTTGATCATTTGAGAAAGAAAGTGAATGTTTCGCGCAGCTGGAAAGGAGGGGAGAGAAGGGGGAATGCAGCGCACTCAGGGGAGGAGGCGGGACCGGGGCAGGGATCTGGGGAAGGGGTCCAGTGGGGCAGGGAGGGGGCGGAGTTGGGGCAGGGACTTTGGGGAAGGGGTTAGAATGGGGGTGGGGAAGGGGTGGAGTTGGGGCAGGACCGGGGGGCAGAGCAAATACCCCATGGAGTGTCCTCTTTTTTGAATGTTCAAATATGGTAACCCTAGGGTAGGGGGATACTATTCTACAGTAAGAGGTCTGGAGGAGAGGAGTCAGCTGAAGTAGGACCTCAACACAGTGAGTCTGCACATTAGAATTTAACTAGAAATCAGTGAGACAGAAATTGAAGAAAGGTCTCGAGCTTTTTTTGAGTGTACATATTTCAGATGAAGATGACAGCAAATCTGTTCAACTAGATATCTTGATAACCAGATTTCTGGTCAATCTTATGTTCATCATTTGTTCTTTTAAGGTAGTGAGGCAGTTTTTTTGAGAATTTGTAATAGTATTTTATATATATAAACTTTTCACATTCAAAGTACTCTGCAAAAAATGATTCATCCATCCATATAACCCCGTGAGATAAATTTTATCCCCATTTTACAGATTAATGCAGCTAGCTCAAGGCCACACAGTCAGAGCCAGTGCTGGGATTAACAACTCAGAAGATCCCTGGTCCCTAAACCCTGCACTCATTCAAGTAGATCACACAACCCTAGATAAAGGAGAAGATCTAAATGTACTGCATTTAAAAAATTATATATTTAGGCCAAGATTTTCAAAAGTGACTAGTAATTGTGTGTGCCCAACTTGAGACTCCTTAAAAGGGCCAGATATGCAGAGGATGGGTGCTCAGCACTTTCTGAAAAATCAGGCCCTTTTAAGGTATCTCAAGTCGGGCACACAAAATCATTAGCTACTCTCAAAAACAGTGGCCTTTTCTGTATAACGTTTGCTGCCTATGTTTTCTTTTCACGTATATGCTAATGAAAATAAGTCTTCTACTGTTTGTTTATAACCAGTGAGTGCACTGCTGCTTTAAAGGTGATAAAGGTTAGTGTTAACATGAAAGCTTCACCTTTGATGAATGCTGCAGAAAGAAAGGCATTACAAGGAATTTATCCAGGAAGAGCGTGTCCAGCACTTAGTAGATAGGCATCAGTGGCAATGAAATGTGAAGATGACCTAAATTGTCGGGGCCTAACCAGGACTCATGGGGGACGTCATTAATGGCACCTGCGGAGTCTGAACACTAGTTTCAGGCAGCCAAGCAGCTTCTGATCATGCCAGTTACAAAGACTGATCTAGCAGAGAAAAAGCACGTTTCTCAAAGCAACCAGAGACTTTAAAATCCAACGGCTTCTTGAAGTTTAATTCTTTGTTCATTCACACTGTTTTCTTAAATTTGAAAAAAAAAATACCTTAAAGAGAAAAAAAAATCCCACAGATAAAATATCCCTGCTTTCTGTCACTTTGTATTTTCTTCTGGTGTCAAAGGCTGTAGAGCTCCAGAAAGGAAAGGAGTATAAATCAATGCAAACAAGCTGGAAGGAGGAAGGATAAAATGATGTTTCTGGAAAAGCCTACAGGAGTTCCGAACGGAGAAAGACAAATTGCTGAGTGGTGTTTGTGTTGCAGCTGTGACTAACCTATTTTGACCATTGCTATAAAAAAAAGATGCCTCAAAGAACCTCTCAATACTATTTTTATTTAGCCAAATTAAAGCATGAGCTTCTATTTTATGCCAAAACCGCTCACACTTGGATGCACACATTTTAGTATCCTAAATGCATAATTAGGCACTTTAAGAAAAGTGGCCCATTTTCAGAAATGCAGAACACCTGAAAATTGCATTCAATTCAACAGGCTAGGTATTCAGCATCTTTCAAACTCACATCACTTTTACTTAGGTGCTTAAGTATAGATTTATCTTCAGGCACTCACGTCTGAAGATTTCATTCTGTAGGTTTTGGTTCCTTGTGCACAAACTTTCTGTGCCTGCATCCCAGCTGAGTACCCATATCTGACGTAAGCAACTCAAGTAGTTTTGTTTGACATGATCTATGTATCTTATTTAATTACCTTACAGCAATAGCATCAAATTCTATAGAGACGCCATCAATCTTTTAGCAATACTTGATTACAGAGTGCGAATTAACCATGTTGATCATCTGATTAATACATTCCAATACCTTTGCCATTCCTTTATACATTAAATCTATAATAAAAAAGGCTGCTGTATTATCTCAAGTGAAGGAGACAATAACGTCCCTTCCTCCCAAGAGACAACAAGATGTTTAAGATTTAAAGTCGTGGTGGGAAAACTCATATAATTTACTCTTCTTGGGCCAGATTCTCCATTGCCCTGCACCTTTCAGTCATTTGCATCAATGCAAAATAGGTGCAAATTGTTACTGTTTGTAAATTATATCCGTTTTCATCCATTTTCCACTCACTTTCCACTGCTGTAAATGACTACACAGGGTGCAATGATGCAATGGAGAATCTGACCACTTAAATCTGCAAAATTGGGCTAGAGATCTCATAAGAACCGTCTTTTTCATGGTCTTTTCCTGCTGTAGTTTTGTTCCCAGCCAGAAAGAAATATTGGAAACAAAATAAGAAAACAGTTCTGGAGTTCTTGAATTTTGTGTTCTTGATTCTATAGTATTGTAATTCAGATTTTACAGTTTGATTCTATACATAGGCAAAGCTGTGGTGAGAGGGTTATTTTCCCAAGCACACTTCCTCATTAATAACTCAGAAGGCCTAACGAGGGAAAATGTAACCCTAACAAACAAACACAAAAGGCAGCCTAGCAGTCTACCAAACTTAGTGTGTATGTCCAGAAATCCAAAATATTTCCCACAAGTAGCTGAAAATGTCAGTTTAACACCTTTAGAATCTTTAATACCCTTTCAATTTTCTGAGAATTTAAGCAGCCTACAGTTTACAGGTAAAACAAGAAGATAATATATTACTTACATCGTTCTGATCATCTTTTGCATTGTAATAGATGATATCATTATTCTGTGGGAAAAAAAGAAAAGAAAAATCATTCCATTAATTGAAAAGTGATGATGAATACAGAGGTCCATGGGCTAAAGTAAACCTGAATATATACACTTAAGGGTTGATCCTGAATTTTGTGAACACCCCTGTTAATTTCCCAGCCCTTAGTTAGTTCTGTCTTCTTTGAGAATCAACAGATATGACAGAGAAATGTCATTTATTTAGCACTTCTTTCCTGAAAATGTATAAAAGGTATATCAACAACAACTGGAAGAGCATAAGCTATGGTGGGGGGGAAGCCTACTAATGGAACACTTATGAGAGCTATTTGTTTTAAAGATATATGAAGATAATACATGCAACAAAACAACCTATCAGGCAACAGACATGATAACTCACTAACTTTACAAATGTAAGTGGGTTATTAAGTCTTTCTTGCACATATTTCATTCTTCATGTTGGGTAGTAAAAATAAGCCCTGGGACTATGCATCAGAAGGACAATCTAATTGTTGTGGCATACAACAGAATGTAATGCTCCAGTGGATGAATGGTAACATTCTAAACCTGACAGAGCCGTGAACTAGCATAATATGAGCTACTGCTCGAATATCATTCTGCATCTTGATTTTCTGATTTCTCAAGAGGGTTAAAAATTGGGAAATTTTCCCATGAAAAATCAGTCACTTTTGTTGTATATCTATCAATCCTGTGGAATTCTGTAATGTGGACATTGCTCACCAATACACTGAGTCTGCTTTCCAATAAATATCACTTTTGTAACATATAACCCTTTGCACTTATTTACACCCTTCTGCTCAAAGATCTCAAGTGTGCTATGCTAAGGCCCTAAGCCAGTAAAGCACTTAAGTATGTGCTTAAACTTAAGCACATGCTTAAGTATTTTGCTTGTATAGGAGCCTAAATCACAAGGCAATCATTATTGCCTGAGGTCAACCTCCAAAATCATTGTCATTTGTACTTTTAATCCTGTTTATATTAAATAATCAATTTTACAAGGATATATTTGAACTCTTACTCTTTCTGTAGGTTTCTATCATGCAATAATTGATAACTAAATGAAACATTAGCCCAAAACTGGGCTCACAAAACTGGGTGACTGGGCAACAAAATGGCAGATAAAATTCAATGTTGCTAAATACAAAATAATGCACATTGGAAAACATAATCCCTACTATACATGTAAAATTATGGGGTCTAAATTAGCCTGTTACCACTTAAGAAAGGTCTGGGAGTCACTGTGGATAGTTCTCTGATAACAGCCACTCAGTGTGCAACGGCAGTCAAAAAAGCTTACAATGTTGGGAATCATTAGAAAAAGGATAGATAATAAGACAGAAAATATCATATTGCCTCTATATAAATACATGGTATGCCCACAACTTGAATACTGCATGCCGATGTGGTTGCCACATCTCAAAAAAGATATACTGAAACTGGAAAAGGTTCAGAAAAGGGCAACAAAATGATTAGGGTTGTGGAACAGCTTTCATATGAGGAGAGATTAATAAGAATGGGACTTTTCAGCTTAGAAAAGAGACAACTAAGGGGGGATATGATTGAGGTCTATAAAATCATGGTTGATGTGGAGAAAGTAAATAAGGAAGTGTTATTTACTCCCTCTCATAACACAAGAACTAGGGGTCACCAAATGAATTTAATAAGCAGCAGGTTTAAAACAAACACAAGGAAGTATTTCTTCACACAATGCACAGTGAACCTGTGGAACTCCTTGCCAGAGGATGTTGTGAAAGCAAAAACTATAACAGTGTTCAAAAAAGAACTAGGTAAGTTCACAGAGGATAGGTCCATAAATTGCTACTAGCCAAGATGGGCAGGGATTCAAAACCATGCTCTGAAGTGGCCCTCGCCTCTGATTGCCAGAATCTGGGAATGGGCGACATGGGATGGATCACTTGATGATTATGTCTTCTGTTCATTCCCTCTGAAGCATCTGGCATTAGCCACTGTTGGAGGACAGGATACAGGGCTAGATGGATCAATTGGTCTGACCCACTATGGCCGTTATGTTCTTATGTAAACCAAGTAAATTTCTGCATCAATTTCTACATCTTTTACAGAAATGTATTCTATATATTAAAAGTTTATAAAAAGAACCAAACATGCAAACCCTTATTCACATGCATACATCTTACTCATATGAGTAACCCAGGCTACTCACATGAGTGAAAATCTGTAGGACCTGGACTCTAAAAGGAAGAAAGACACACCTTTTCCCTCATATACATATAAACATGTGAGACTCATTTGAAGAGTACTAACTATGAGTACAGCAATTCTGAAGTTCCAGGCTAAACACAATTAATTTTTGATAATAATAAAGCCACCATGCTGCGTGGTATTGGATGACATCATTTCACTTTGCTTTCCTCATCTCTCCAATAGAAATAATGATGCCAAACAAATTAGGGAAATGCAACATAGATGGAGCTATTATAAGGCGGGTTCAAAACTCACAGCTCATCACATGCACAGACACATGAGGAAATTCCTTTTAGCACTAGAGATCAAAGCTAACTGTGAGTACATTGATCTTTTTCTGGCTATGCTACAACAAGGACAGGAGACACTGGATGTGGTTTAATTAGGCCGTAACGTTATTTCTAAATCTCTGGGAGTACCTGGCAGATAAAATTCTAGAGTGCAGGTTATTGCATAATCATCTATGTCATTGATACAAAGACCTTAATGGTTCATGAGCCAAATTAGTATCAACATTACCCCAAAGAGCCACAGTAGTGTGAATCCATTGTTTTATTTACTTCCACCCCCCCTCTAAAATTATTCTCACAGCAAAATGACTGACCAAGTATTATTATTTTATCAACTACAATTGTTTAACAACATAGTAAAAGCATCCTGATTGGTTAATAACCTAGACTGGTTAATAATTAAGTCAGACAGTGTTTTAATTATCATGTGCTGCAAAGAGCCACAGGAGAAACATTAAAGAGCCACTTGCAGCTCGCAAGCCTCAGTCTGAGTATCACTGGTTTTTATATATCCCAGTTATAGGGTATAGACTGTCAGCCCTCCCTCAGCCACCTTTCCCTTGGCCAACCCACTGCTGGGACCTCACTACTTCCTCCCACCCTCAAATGCAGGAGGGTTAAGGGGGCGCTATAAAGGAGCAGAGGGTTGACTTCTTGCTGTACCAGCCATAGAAGCCCCAACCCCCCATTTCCGCTCCGTTAGAGAACACTTCCTTGAAATCCTTTACCAATCCATTTTATCTGATCACTGTATCCCTTCCCAATGGAGTACCTGTGCCGGACATCCACCCCACACTTACATAATGAGTTGGGACATCATAGCCTAACCCGCATTTCACCATTCATCCCAACTAAGTCCCCAACCTGCTGTGGGGAAAGAGAACAATCTGGCAGTGAGGGAAGTAATTTCTTCCCAGCCCACTGCAAAAGGACTGATGACGTGTAATGCTCACACTCGATCATGACAAACTCCCATGGGCGGGATGTGGGTGCTGCTCAGCCTGCTCCAGGTAAAAGAGCGCTTTTCCTGCACCAGTGTGGACTTCAAAAGTGTTCCCTCTCTTCCGGTCATCTGGTGAGGGATGGATCAGCATCCCCACACTGACCTGGGCTGAAGCCACAACAAGTCGCTCTCTAGCCTTCAATGGGGAACAGGTTTTCCAACAAGCTAGACAACAGCCTCCACCGCTTAATGTGCTGTGAGGTCAGTCTCATAACCTGATGGTTCCAAAGGAGGTACTTTAGCATGTGGTTTGTGAAGAGAGTTGAAAGAACCAAAAGTTTCAGTTTCCTTCCATCCTGTTATTTCATACACTGTTGTGTACAGACACACTTGGGAAAAATGTAACTGTCTGTTTAATTAACATTTGCTGAAGCTCTAAGCCTGTAAGATGCGGACTGCATCATATGTGAATTAGTCCATTGCTACTTCTGTTTGATCCAAATAACTAGGAGTATTAAAAACTACCTTTAAGCAAATGAAGCTCTCAGAAACATAAGGACAGGTTTAACCAAGATAAGCGCATAAGGAAGAAATTAAATCCTTGTTTTGTGATATATTACATTTTGTGCTCCTTGTAGATAGTACCTACACAAAACATAAACCAATAAGGACATTTTTATCTGTTTCACTACACTTTATACAGAAAGCATGACCTACACTGTATTATGATACATTGAAGCCAACACAAGCTCACAGATTAGATTCCTGGATCAGTCAAAACTTGAGGCCTATTTTTCATATTTAACCACCACTAGATGACAAGAACAAATTGTTTTGATTCTGATTTTCCACCAAATAGCTATTTATTAACTCCTGGGCACAGGGAATTTGAATCCACCCAATGATATATGCCAGTACACTATCCTGTCATTAGGGAAGTTACAGATGGTTTCCAGCAGGTCTAAAATGGAGGGTTTCCCTCCTACCCCACACCACCACCACTACCACCTTCTTCCGGTAATAATTTGGAGACTAAAATTAAACAAAGGAGGAAGTCATCATTCCCATTTGTGAGCACAGGGTTCACTTGCAAACACAGGTCTTGTTGTATAGTCCTGAATCATGTTTATGGGAGAAATGACCTCAGGTTATTCTACATTTAAATGAGAAATTTGTACATGACCACAATGGTTTTACATATTAGTGAGACTTTCCCAGGGGTGAAACTATGATAATTCACAGCCATGAATTCCTGTTGCATAGCAAGCAATTTAAGTATCTAACAATATCAAAAACAAATGATGATTAGATTTAGGACCAACTTAGTAATGTCACTTTTCTGGCTGTACAGGTTATCCTTATCCTGCCATGATTTCATTGACCCTATTGTCTTCTCAAGTCACATTGATTTTGTGTTATCATTTCTGCCATTTCGTTGCTAGTTTTGGATATGAAGTAATTCCTATGGGCATTAAGGGTTGTATACATTACAAATTGAGTTATGTTAGTAACTCCCCAAGATACATCTATTCAACATACTGA